TGAGATGTTTAAATGACCTAAAAATAAATGTGGGTTCCTTGTACCAATGGTCCTGCCTCGCTCATGACAACCGCCACACAAGTGCCAGTTTAGGGCCCGGAAGGAATGGGTGCAGCTCTGTCCCTTAAACAGTTCTCCTGTAGGGGAGGCTGCAGCTTCGGGCATCGGGGTGCATTTTGGAGGCAGCCAGCAGAATACTTACATCGGTGAGGCGGCTGCCCCTGGGGAAAGAAGAGACACATACTTTAATTTTATTAAAGGTGAATACAAAAAATTAAAAATAAAAATTCAAAAAATTAATGAAAAATGCTTAGAAATGTTAAGAGCCTATGATTTCTTTCTTTTTTTTTTAGGCGAGGCAACCCTTGGTTGACCTCACAGATTGCAAGGACCTTGTCAGCTTACAATCCCTTATTTTTTTATTTTTCATGCCTACAGCACCTGGCCTTCCTAGGCGGTCTCCCATCCAAGTACTAACCAGGCCTGACCCTGCTTAGCTTCCGAGATCGGACGGCATGGGGCTTGTTCAGGGTAGCATGGCCGTATACTAAGAGGCCATAATTTCAACGACAAAGTGAAAGAAAGCTCGCCCAGAAATCGACAAAGTGTCAAAAGTCATCTCGTGGTTGTACGTCCTTCAGGCGGACACGAAGCGCTTCTGGTCCTTTCGTGGCCCAGTTACACCACCCTGCACTGACCCTGCAGCACCTATATCCCGCGGTCACCTCCCAGAGTCACCTTGGGAGAGCTCCTCCCTCCCCCAGGACCCAGTTACGGAAATATTACTGACTCCTACCTGTAGCCTCTCAGCTTTTTCTTTTCCCTAGAAATGGTGTTAGTCACCTGGCCTGCCACCTGGTTAGGAGACTTGGCTCCCAATGACTGGCAGTGTCACAAATCGGACCCATCCTCAGAGGTAACTATCTACCCCACTAAAGTTATCTAGAAGCCCCACCATGAGTTTTAGAACAATTCTAATTGTTCTAAGCAAGGCTAGCAGGCTGGAGCCTGTGTCTGAAACACCTCTGCGAAGGGCGGGCTGTGTGTGAACATTCTGGAATGACCTTTGCCAATGGCCACCTGAGTTTGTGCAGCACCTCCCAGAAGCTGCGGGCCTTCGAAATCTGGAAGGGCAGCCTGGGACAGAGGCCAGGAAGGCTAGGCTGAAGGTGTCCCCTCCACCCCAAAATGCTCCTCCACAGAGCAGAGACGCTGAGCAGGACCTCTGCGACGGGCGGGCTATGTGTGAACATTCTGGAATGACCTTTGCCAATGGCCACCTGAGTTTGTGCAGCACCTCCCAGAAGCTGTGGGCCTTCGAAATCTGGAAGGGCAGCCTGGGACAGAGACCAGGAAGGCTAGGCTGAAGGTGTCCCCTCCACCCCAAAATGCTCCTCCACAGAGCAGAGACGCTGAGCAGGGGGCCCCATCTCAGGGCAGAGGTGCCGGGAGGCGGACCCTAACTCAGGGTGGAGGTGCGGTGCGAGGGGGTCCCAACCCAGGGCGGCGGTGCGGGGGGTCGGGGCAGAGTGGGGCCCCAATCCAGGGCGGAGGTGCCCATATGAAGGGGGCCTCAACCCCGGGAGGAGGTGCAGTGCGAGTGGGGGCCTCATCCCAGGGAGAGGGTGCGGGCGTAGGTCCCCATCCCAGGTCGGAGGCGCCTAGTGGACGGTCTGAGGGCAGGCGTGCGGGCCGCGGGGACGGCCCGGCTTCTGGGCCTTACCAACAGTTGAGCTTCCGCACGCTGTGCAGCTCCGAGGCCTTGGCCCGTGACAGGACCATCTTCCGCGTCAGCTTCATGGTGGCAGGCCGCGGGGACCCAGACCCTGGCCGGGCCTTGGACCCGCCAGCAACCGGGAGGATTTCGGCTCCGCGTTGGCGCGTCTCCAGGGGGCGTGGACCGCGTCGTCAGGGGCAGGCCCTGCAAGCCCATTGGCCCCCCGGCGAAGGGGCGGGGCGGCGCGAGCGCAGTGGGGCCGCCTGGGCCTGCGCTCCCCGCCGTGGCTCCGCCCCCTCCCGCTGTG